AAATAAAGAAAAACAATTGAATGTGTGGTACTTATTCATTTTTTTCCTCATAAGCGTAAAATTATTAAATTCCAACAACAATTGGAATTCCAATTACAAAATAACAAATTCCTCTGCCTGAGGTAGAACAACAGGAAAAAGAAAGTTGCAGCTGTATAAAGGTGAAGATCTGGTTGTCCGTATTTGGGAATGCAGCCCCAAATCCAAAAGGTAAGCCTTTCATTGGCTTGCAGAAATCCAGAAATACTTGTGGAAGATCCCAAGTAGAAATAACAAATAAAGACAAGGCATGGAGTTCAGTAATGCTAGGGAGTGTGTGGGTTTGCTCTGTCTCTGGCTATTATTGCTATTTGTACTTAACACCCAGGTCATTTACTGCAATATGACACCGCAAGTACTGCATAAAGGATGCCAGAGAACTTCATGAAAATTATCACTGATTAATCACATAGGACAATTACAGTGGTCAAATCCATAACCCAGTAACTGCTTATAAAAAGCATTCAATTGTAAAATAGGCCTGACACTGGTACAAGTATGTGTGTGCTTAAATGCTTCTGTTATTAGAAGCGTTTCTAGTTTGAGCAGCAAGAACATAGCCCTGTTTGCAACATGCAAGCTCATCTTCCTATAGCTTCTCTTAAATAAGGACAGTCTTCCTAAACCCTGTGACTTGAAATATTATACAGACAGAAAGGAAGATGTGACAATGTTTTGGGTAATTCAGCAAACAATGGGCTAAAACAATCAGAAATTGCATAAATTCTGAAATTCATCCGTTAAACCTCAAATAACTGAGGCACAAATAAATATTTCAATTACCTTTTCACTAACAAATTCCAATGACCTTAATAAACAGGTACTTGGAGTTTAACAACACTTGTAGAGCGTTTATTAGACAAGTTTTGACTGCTCAGTTTCCTGCAGAGCGAGACCTGAGGCAAGCAGAGTAACAACATGGAGGGGAAAAAAAAAGGACAAACTTCTACAATCCAGTGCATCTCTGCTTCTCAAACCAACTTCTGCCACAAAGGCACTTCCATCTCAGTACATGGAAACCTTACGAAACTGAAATAAGATTGCTGACATTCCAGAAAAGTTGAAGAATACACATGTATCTTCACTAGGAAATGATGGATTGCTCTGGACTTTAGTGACATATATTCCTAAGAATAAAAGTGAAATATTTCTCCCTTCCTCTCAAGACAGGGCTTGAAGAAGGGAATAAAGCAATTTTAACAGTGTTAGAAAGCCCTGTGCTGTGATCCAAACTGATCAAGTAAATTGTAAAACACGCATCATCATAAACTTGTCTTTAAAAATAAGCCTGGTAGTTAAAGCTTAAAATCATTTAAGCAAGACTTCATCCCCAGCTTCATAAGGGGATAGAAAGACATTTTAAACTTTTTCAAGATTTTCTTTTAAACAGGATATGAAGAATATAGCTTCTCCTTTGGGTTAGTCTCACCTCTAGACAGTATCAAGTCCATTTCTCTGCTTGCCACAGCAAGTTTTAAAAAAAGAAGTACATGCACCTGCCATTCTCCTGGTTTAAAATTGGTTAGCATTCTCCCTAGCACAACTCTCTATTCCAGTTTTTAAGGTGTTTAAGGAACAACACTACTGTAATTAAAGCAAACTGCCACAGAGCAATGAATACAGAGGTACAATACTTCTATCCTTAGCTCAGTAACTCTGCTAGCACAGTGTCAAATGTGTTTTCCCCCAGTTAGGAACCCACCAATACAGATGCCCCAGCATTTCACCTGAAAGGCCTTGAGATTCAACAGTGAGCTCACTCTATCACTTACACCTAACATATCAAATCTCCTCTACAGAGATAAAGCAAAACTAACTCACCACCACCAAAAGTACCAGGAGTACCTGTTTGTCCAAGTACCAGGCAGAGCAAGCAGCAAGAAAAAGGGCATTTTACTCTCACCTATTATTTTCCCCAAAGCCTTCTTTGGCTCATTTTGTCTTCTTGCAGCCTGATTACAGCACACAATGTCTTAAACTTGACTACTACCTTGCACTTTTTCTAACGCTTCGTGAACCCCTTTAGAAGTGGGGAGGGATCCCACCCAGTGGTTTGATGGATGCTGTTTCAATGGATTAATACCAAATAACTCAGGTACAAATAGTGCTTATCAACGTGATGGGAACTGAGAAAAAACCCAGCTGCCTCACAGAAAGAGCTATTTAGTTCTCTACGTTCAAAAGTGGTGACCCAGCATTAGGTTAGTAAGAAGAGTTATACATACCTCCAAGGCAGATTTCTGTACCGTAATTTGGCTGTAAACTCTAGACCCTTCTGGGCAAACAGTCCTCAGTTCGTCTTTATTGAGGGAGAAAAGCTGAGCACCCGTCAGCACACCGAGGCTATTGACAGTCCTGGGGTCACACCAAGGGAACAAACAAGAAATAAGCAAAAATACACTAACCAAGGGAAAGAAGTAGGTTAGCTTCATCCTACATTCTCTTAGATAGGGCTATTAAATCAAGACAAAACTTAATGCAGCAGGACTCGAAGTCAATTCAGTATCTGTTACAAGTGCCTTTTGGTGGAAGCTAATATATATAAATTTTTTTCCTAAATATATCTATATCTCTATAGATCTTTAACCACAATGATATATATGTATATATAATATAGACACATAGATACATAAATATCTATGTATATATATGTGAAAAAACAAATTCTTTTTTTCAAGGGTGCAGCTGATGTGTCTTGATTTTCAGAAGGCTGCTTGATTTTGAAAAGTGGGCAGACCACATCCTAATTACTGACAGGAAAATAATTTTTAAAAGTTTTCTTACACTTGCACTCAAACTTACACGGGGTTGAATCCTTTGGACTGCAACCACGCTTTCACATCCTCAGGTGAAGAGTCGTAAGTGATGTTAACTACCGGGATGTTTGGTCGTGGCACATGGAACTTCCTCTGGGCAGCGCCTCGGCCGATGGTGAGCCGGTGGACAAGTTCATCCTGCACCTCCTCCATCTGCGATTTCCTGCCTAGAGAGAGATATAACAGGAGTTATTCTCAAGACTGCTTTATCAAAGCCAGGTAATTTCTTACATTACACTTCCAATCTTAATTTTTTTTTTTCTTTCTTTAAAGATTCATTCACTAGATCTGACGGAATTATTATTCTCCTTTTTCCGCAGGGAAGATTTCAATATTCCCACTCCTCTCTTTGCAAAACAAAAAGAGAGCAAAAAAACCATCCCCAAATTCAAGTGAGACCCTAGAAAGAGATGAGCTTGATTTTGCACAGAGGTGTAGATCAGTCTGACAGCACCCAAGCTGTAGAACAAAATGATCACAGAGGGTTATTCAATTATCACAGTCTGCATTTCTTCAAATAGAATTATGATGTTTTAAAAATGAAAACAAAATAGATGAGGAATAATATAATATTGCTTACACTGTGGAAAGGCAGCACTCTCCACAAACATTTTTTAATTGAAAGCTCAACTTTTTATTGCAAATCAATGTAGGCAAAAAGATTTCACTGCTGCTGACACATATCACCTTATATCTAATAAGCTATTATAGTAATCACGTTTTTGAAGTGGTTTTAAGAAATTTGAATTCACTCCATGCCTAGAGTGACTGGTTAGCTGAAACAATGTCACACCTTGCATTAAAAAAAGAAGAAATAAAAAAGTAGTTAACTCTCATCACCAGACACACAGGAAATGGGAAAGACTTTTAAAAAAAAAACCCAAAAAAACCCCAACCCACAAAACTGTACAAATCTGCTATCCCACAGAACCCATTTGTCTGAAGCATTTAGTTCAGTTGCTGGTAATTAGCAGGTGACAAACTGAAATGCTTTTCAACAAAATCAATTATGACAACACTGAAAATTGTTTAAAAAAATCCATAGAACCTTTTATGTGCAATTTCACAAAAATAGATAGAATCCAAAAGGGTGTAAATAACTTTCTGAGCACAGAGAAGACTCTGATTTAGCACAGTTAAAACTCTCCACGCAGTAACTCTGGAATTACTATGGAAATACTCTGACACACAACTTCAACTGATCTCAAAAATTCTCAGGATCTCCTTGCTGAAATATTTTTAGTCATCTTTATTCAACCTTCTCACTTTGATACACAAACAGTAACTGCAGCACCTTCCCTGATTCACTCAGATGGCAAAAGCTATTCCTTTTCTCCCATTACACCAACAGCAACAGAGAAAAGCAACACAACTTCAACATGAAAAAACTCTAAGACAGTAAAAATGTTTCTTTCTCTACTTTCCTTTTATCTTCTCCCCAAACCTCTCCAAGGATCTCTAGCCAGTCAGACAAATGAAAACAAGCTTTATGTAGGCTTTTAGGATTTATTCTTTTTTAATCACCACAACAAAAAAAGAAATATCCTTGGTTTAGCCATTTTCTTTTTTCTTTTACAAAATAGCCCCAGGTTGAAAGCAGACAAAATATCTCTAGTAAGATATGTGAGGCATTCAGGCCCTATTTTGTTGGGTTCCCCCTCCACCTCCAAGTGTGAATCGGAAGCCAAAATGACATGTGCTCAGTGATATGTGAAGGTCTGAGATGAGATATATGAGTAAAGCCTTTAGGCAACGTTATCGAAGCATGCACCAGTTATTTTCCCAAACAGGAAGAGAGCAAGAAAACGGCTATCTTCCTTCTATTTACACAGATTTTGAAAGACTGATGTTTTATCTAGACCAAGACTATATCAAAAGATAAATATTTAGCTGTTAGATAACAGATTCTTACTGTTGTTCGATGCATTACCATAAACAAACAGGATACCCTTGGTGTGAAGCAGGTACCACGCTGCGTGGTCTCTGCGGGGTTCAGGCGGGTACCTGGGCAGCAGGTTGCCCACTGCCTTTGCCGAGGCAGATATTTTGCGGGGGCTGTGAGGTACCCGAAACCCATCAACTGGGCTTGAGCGACAGCTCCCGGGAGGGCACAGGAGCTCATGTGTGTGGCGCAGGGCCTTAGAGGCAGAGAGGGCAACAGATGTCTTGTAACCACTTAGTCTAGAGCAACCCTTCACACCTCACACCCTCCACCCGAAGCCAGGATGTTTTCAGGATGTTCTTCATGTTTTCCACCCGTAAGGGATAGAGGCCATTGTGGATTCAAGGAAACATACCTGCTACAGGATGCAAAGTCCTTCTTACATAGAAATAAAATTATCATTTTTGTGCATATGTGTGTGTGAAATTCACCCTCACTTTCCGCATCTTTTGTAAGTGCGTGGGTTTCTGTTTTTATTTAAGTAACAAACTGCCCCAAAGAGGACAAAGACAGAAGCTGGCCCTACTGTTTCTTTGCAAAACAGCACTGAAGCCTGTTCCTCCTGCCAGGCTGTTCTCCATTTATAATTTCCAGCCAGCCTAGAAAAGCCTAGCTGAAAATGTTAAAAAAGTCCCAGAGCCTTCTTGAGTCAGAGCTTAGGCAAGAGCTTGTCTACCACCAGGCAATGTCAAAGCAGGCTCCACCAACTGAGTGTGGTGATCCAAGCAGGCATGCTTCCCATCCACTGGGGACAAGGGGGAAAAGAAGCCCTTCTGCAGAAAGGATTGCACTCAGTGCCAGTTTTTACCTCAGGTGGAAGCAGGATTTTCTGATAGGGCAGGGAGGCAGAGGATCGGAAAAGCTATCAACTCTTAAACTGCAAAAAACTCATTATTTTAACTGCTGTAACTGGCAAAGCTATAGCAAATGCTTGCCTACAAGTTTCAGTTATTTTCGAGCCAAGCAATCACATTGCTTAAAGTGCATTTAGGACAGAAATTATTGACTAAAGTTCTCCGAACCTAACTTGCTTTCAGTCAATAGAGAGTAGGAGCCTCAGCATCAGTTCGGCTTTATATTTACAAGGTGACCTTAATCAGAACTTTCCATGACTCTCACACACTGCTGGATGCAAGTTACCATGTTTTCCAGCTAAAGGGCTATGCAGTATGTTCTCTCATCCTCCTAAGACAAGCACATGAAAGTTTGCTCAGCAGCCTGCCAGTTGCTCTTGCTTTGACCAAGCTAAGGGGACCTGATTATAAGAGGAGTCTCCTACAACACTATTACAACATGGTTTCTATGCATCAGCCAGACCTGTAAGTCTTCTTGCAAGCCCTGGATACATGTTTCAGAATGGTGCAAATGCCCTAGAAATATGGATGACCATGGACAGAAGCGTAAAAACAGCCTAACTGATTTTAAAAGCAATTTAGATTGCAATGTGTCAGTGAGTTCAGGTGGAAAACATACATTAGCCAGAATACCAGCATGGCCATTTACGGCATTGCAAACCACTGACTGAAGATCCCAGACAGTCATAAAAGGAGAAGATTTAGGACTGGGACAAGTGCAGAAGTGTTTTGTCCCTACTTACTGTTGTGATTAGCGAGAGTCAGAATACACATACATAGAAAATGTGTGTTTTAAACATAGGGTTAAAGCTAAATACTTCATAAACATTTATCTGAAACAGAAGGTTTTAAGGAATTTAAGGATTAAGCAAAACACACGGGAATGGGAGAAATACTTTTTTTCTTGCTTCTTAGACAAACTTACGATCCACAGCAACTTGCTTCTGCCTCTGGGCGTCTCGTGCAACACTACCACCGCTGTCGCTAGATGTGCTGCTTTGGCGGCTGATGGTTGCTGGCGCTTTGGGCACAGGAACCGGTATAGGTGCTGGTGCGCTAGGAGGGAGGGGGACAGCCACAGGGACAGGAGCGGGTGTTGGAGGTGGTGAAGGAGTAGCAGGAACTGGATCGGGTTGTTTTGCGACGTAGTCCGTCCTTTGTTTCTGAAAAGATGCAGAGACGCTCAGTTCGACAGCAAAACTTGGACAAGACATCAGACAAACTCAGGTTTCTGCAGAAAATGCTGGGATGCTTTGCACCAACTGATTTAATTTATTACACAAAGACATCTTATTTGCCAGATATAGTTCCAAAATGTGCCAAAACTTGATTTGGCATCAATTTCCTTCTCTGTCGGACAAAAATTCACAGCAATGACATCATCTCAAACACGTTTGTTTCTTTCAAACAGATGAGTTCTAGAAATCAAATTGTTTTTAAATCCCAAACTTCCATTACTGGCACTTTTTAACAGTTTCCAAAATTTTTGAACTGTTGGACTTAGTGTAAAAATGTATATTTTAGAGAAATATGAACATATCCAGCCACACCTAAGCCTGACTAATGGTTTAACTTACAAACGTCACTGGGCTTGAGATAACACAGTGTTTCTTGAACTGCACACACCATTTAAGAGGTTCCTGCTCCTCCTACCCATTCACTTGTGCCTTTTCAGCTATTTATGTGGCTACTACATGCCACCTCAATGCAATAATCCAATTAAAAAAACCCAACCCCCAAACTCCACAATTCTTGGAATAGGGCTGTTGTTTCTTCCCGCTTTACGCAACGTTCTAACAACATGCAAATTATCTTGCTGCTAATAACTAACGAGCAGGTGTCTCAAGAATAATTTGGGGGAATAATTTCTTTTCTCCTTCTTTGCATTTAGAATGGCACCAGTTACAGGAAGATGCATGTATTTTCCCAAAGCAATCCCAATGACAGACAGGTAAGCAACCTATGCTACCCTTTTCTTTCAAACTCCACATCTCACTGTTTTAACATTGCTCCCTCTCCACCATTTTGGACTAACATAGCTTGAAAGTTTAATATTGAAGTTTGTTTGCTCAATAGAGATGCCTCATTTCTTAGTCATGAGAAGTCTGCTTACTTTGGTATGAAAATAGATGAGTACATTCCCCAGATTCATTGCTCCTTCCTGAAATACCTTTCCCTATTTCCTTGCAGGCAGAGGGTTTATGGCAGATCAAGTAAGGAAATATTTGTAGGAGCCATATGTTAGAATCTGAGCAGCAGATCACTGCCCTGACAACAATCAAACTTTCATTAAATGTCAGCAACTGCCCTTACGCAGCAATCCCCAACTCAGTAAGTCTAACTGATGGACAAGGCATTTTGTAGTCAATGTAACCTGGGACAATTACAGCTAAGTTATGCTGAGTTATACCAGCAGAAAATTTATCCCATCAGCTTCTATGGCAAGTCAATTAAGCCTAGGAAATAAGCCTTTTGTTTCCCTTAGACAATTTTTCACTTAAATTGTAATAGTCAGCTACTGAAGCAAACATATAGTCTTATAATACATTCCCCATTAAACCTTTTTGGTTTTTTGTTTGTTTCTTTCTTTTTTTTTCCTCCCTTAGCATTTAGTTGCTCAAAGGCATTCATCTCAATTATTTTGTGTCCACCTTGTGTAGTGCACTGTGGAGAGATCAAAAAAAAAATCATATGATTGACTTTTCTGTATTATACTACTTCGATGTTAAGACAATAAATGTTTTTTTAAATGTCAAATGCCAAGAAAAGTGAAATGCATAATATAAAAGAGAACAAGCAGAGTAATGTATATTTAAGAAACCTGTCCTTTGGTGGGAAGAGAGTACCCTACCAGGTATATAGTAAATATACCCTAATTTATTGTATACAGGTGTACTGTGGTATATCCAAAATCTTGTTAATTAATTTTAAGATTTCACAGATATTAAGATGTTCTAATGATATTCACATTTTTTTTAATCTTGTTCACAGAATCCAGTTCCTAGACTGTTATCTCCACAACGTACCCTTATGTGTGCCCCAACCTTCTTAAACAACACGCAAGGAAAAAGCAAGGCTTTTTTTATGGTAGAAAGGATTCATTACAAACCAAGGCATCAACTGCAAATCACCACAATCATAATCCAGAAAAAGCGATAGCTAAATGCTACATGTAGCTCTCAATGGATACTACTGATGTAGCTTCAAAAACATGTTGTACTGCACTCACAAAAGCCTCATCAAAATGACTTGCTGGAGTGAAAATAAAAATTAAACTGGAAGCATCACTCAAATTCTAAATTTACAGATGAAACTATGTTGAAATAACTTCACATTTTGTTGAACAGTGCGCAAAAGCCAATTATACATTCAAATCACATTTAACATTTCTTTTTTTAACACTTCTTTTTTTAACTCCAGATCTTTTGAGGACATCCACACATTCATCTCATCACTTCTATTCATTGCTACAAACAAGCATGCACTATAGAATTTGGCGACTACATAGTCCATAAAAGTAATTTTTGAGGTTCAATATCAGAAGAGTAATTTTGTTACCTCTGAAAGCTCTCCCAGCAATTGCTGTGAGGAAAATGGAGTAAATCACATCAAACAATGTTAGAAAGGTAAGAAGTAACTGCCTCACACATCAATCCTGAAATTTCATACACATTAGCAATTTAAAACAAAGGAACAACAGTGCTAATAATTAGCTCTTCTTAATCACTAAGCAACTCACATAGTGAGTTATTCTCATTTTCTTTTAAATAATGAGTGGAGTGCTGGCTACAAAACATACATATGTGACACCATAAAAGCAATGAAGTCTTTTCAAAGCACCTACCCAGACAGAAACTTAGAAAGAGGTTTAATAAAAAACAAAACCCAAACAAAAAAAACTTACAATGGATTGAAGATCATAAGGTGAATGTAGAGAACACTTGCAACTGTAGAACAATATGCATTAAGTCACGGCACATTATAAAAAAGGAACTTATTTATTTTTGCTTAAGAAATGTTGGCTAGCTTAGAAGATAAGGTAAAGGTCACTGCTGACAGACGTGTACTCACTAATTTGCTGACAGCCATAGGAACAATGAACAATTCTGGGTTTTGTTTTCCATTCTTCCTCATATTTTTTTCCTTTAAAAATAAACTTGCGATCCTCAACTTATGTAAATAGGAACAAATCCTTTAAATTATTTGGAACAGTGACGATACACACTCATTAAAAATCTGGATATATCAGAAAAGCTTACTGCGACTACATTTATTTTCTTTTTTCGTATTTTTTGCCAGAAAATCTTTGTATTTACAGGAAGAAAGAGGTCCCAAAGCTCTTTGTCAACACACTACAACTGCATGTTGTCAAAAATCAAGATTCACTATGATTTGATCTATTTTTAATGCAAGCAAAATAATAAGCTTGAGTAAAAGTGCTAACAGTATCAACCCTAATTCTCGATCATTGTAAAAAACTGGGGACAACATATTTTCAAATACATTTTGGCATCAAAAAAGGGAATATGTGTATTCAAACTATAGCAAATACAGACATCAAAGAGGCATTGGACACAACCATAACTAGCGTTAGTGCTGGGAAGTGCTCTCATTAAGTTAACACAGACACAAAGCTTCCTATTTACTCTCTTTCCAAACATTTTAGTGCCACGTTCCTGTTTGCACAGTGACAGGAGTTAACCAAGAGGGCTGCAGAGCATTCAGCCTCAGTTTTATCAATGGCACTGTGGTTTGGATGTTTTCTTGAGACTCATTTTAAGAGCTAAGGGAGAACCAACTACTTGTCTTCACCCAAAAGGGACAATGAGGTACCCAAGACTGGAAGAGCAAATTTCAAGCAAGGTCTTTTGCCAGTTTCCTTTGGTGGGCTCAGCTATTACGCAGAATCAAACAGCTGCCTATTAAAATCCCGTTACAAGTCACCTAACTAGCTCTTTGCAGGGTATAAGGAATTCATGTTTTTATTGGATTTATAAACCTGCCTTGCTAAAATCTTGCCAAAAAAACAAGAAGTATATTAGGATGGAAGAAGGAGAAATTTAGACAGAATTTACTTATTCAAATTGGTATTAGCTAGGATTAGTCCCCATTCCTTAAAAAAAAAATAAAATTATGGGCACACTGGGCACTTTTAATGCCTATCATTAATCAAATCCTTTTTACAACCGTTCAGTACATTTTTGTGTAATAAGTGGCATCCCATAATTTGGGATTGGATCAATGTTGAATTGGACAGGAAACAACTTTTTTTTTAAAGCTGTCAGAAAGTCTTGGTCTGATAGCAACTTTAAAGAGCATTTGATACGAAATGAGGTAAAAGAGATACTGGCTCTTGGTCAAAAATCATGACATCTCTTTGGCCACTGCCAAATGAACACCTGGCAACTGCATCTCTTCATTATCAAACACTTCATGATCTGCAGGAAAGATACCAGCTGGCAAAATAAGAGTATGAATCTATGACACTAACTTGGAGCACAAATGCTGTGCTTGAGGGGAAACAACTTCCCACAGAGATATTTCAAGTGAGCTGCTAAACAAAGAGATTTGAAAGAAAGGTTTTGATGGTAGGTCACCAAGAAATGCAAAGGATGCTTGTCCCAAGTGAGGTGGAGACTTTTGTCTTGGTGTTTACATACCATAAACATGCCTCTTACATACATGGTCACACTTCTGTGGACAGTCATGTTTTTTTAAAATAAGACTACAGGACTACATTTGGCTTAACACTCTTGGTGCCTCAGGATTTCATACACATCACTGATAATATAACTGTCTCACCTCACAAAGGGTGTCATGAGATTAATTAACATGCACACCAAGATACACCCTTCTATCCCAATTATGTTCTTCAAATTTCTCTTTCAAAAGCATTAAAAAAGTTAATGAAGTGCACAGTAAATAGGAAATATTATCATTAATTACTTTCTAGGTTCACCAGCAATACTCGTACAAAAGAAGAAATCAGAGTGCTTGGGAAACTGTTTATGTTCATACATAATGGGATGGTGAAGTATCACTGTTGGTTCACAATAAAAAGGCAGACTAAACAACCAACACCACAGGAAACTCGGATAAACAATAATTAACATTAGTGGAAAACATAAATAATCAGCAAAATGCTCTCCTAAACGTACAAAAGTACCAAACAAGCAAACCCATGGTTTTCCTGAAACTAATTCAACTGACCAGAAGACAATGTTACAGCCTCTGACTCACAAAGACAATGAAATAACTAGCATATTGCTTGCAATGTTCCTGGAAGTATCATCTTAGACAATTCAGTGCTTTCAGGTAACTATCTGGGACCTGGATACTGAAAGGGATTGAGAGAAAAATCAGGATCTAATCTAGTGTGTGGACTCAGAGGTCACTAGGAGAGGGAACAGAGTGAGAGTGAAACAAACTTTGCAGCTCTGAGAATAATTGTGATAATGAGGCATCCATCTCTCAGAGAAAGGGTGTCCGTCTGTAGAATAGTTGAAAGAAAATTATCTCTTTCAATGGAATCCTTAATCCTTCCTAATAATCTGGAAACATCCTTTGGTCAGCTGTGCTTTGAAGGCCATTAGTCTGTAAAGAAATACACTAACCTCGTACATAATGCTTATCTGCGGCTCACCGCAGCAGACTACTTTGAAAGCGGTCTTTCAAAACCAAAGACGACATCGAGACTGGCAAAAGCTGCACAGCACCAGGCGCTGTGCCTGCTTGCGTTCAGGGTCTGGCAAAAGCACTGATAGGAACCGCTTCAATTTCCTGCTCTACCCACAAGTTCTCCTGTTTGACCTTGGGCTAGGCAGTCATCCCTTCAATGCCTCATTTCTCTCTGAAATAGCAGCAATGTCTCATAGCACAGTTACGAAAATAAAGAGGGTTATGCAAACAGATCCCAAATGAACCATGTATCTATCACAGGGAAAGAGAGAAATGAGCAGGCTCAGGAAGGGTAAAATTATAACAATCATCATAAAGTTAAGAACTACATTATTGACATGTCTTGGTAAAGACTCCATTTACCCTATGTAATTCATTATATTCCTAAATAATTTCATAGTATTTCAAGCTCACATTTGAATATGATAAAGCTGTAGGGAACAACCTGCCAGAGGGCAAAGAAACAAAACTATATGATATGTTTTTCTCTGACCCTAATTTTCATAGATCTGTGAAGAATGCTTTGTGAAAATGATGATTTTATTATTTCCCATGTCACGTCATTATTTCAAACAGAAAACTTCAACACCTGCAGTGCATTACAAAGAATAGTTTAAAAGCCTCTACTCAAAACTGTACTCAGTCTGCTCAGGATTTCGCAACAAATTCCAAACACACAAAATGACATGCACCCAAAGGAAAAAAAGTCAGATCTTTAGTTCAGGATTTGAAAAGCACTCGGGATGCATGCTTCACTTCACAGACAGGCAAATACCATAATCAATTTAGAATGAGCTCATACATTATAGGCAAACAGTTAGGGATAGGAAAAACTCAGAAATGGTCTGGTTCAAGCCCATCAAGCTCAAGACAGGTCTACCACATTATTGTGCCAGAAATAGCATAGGACCTGTTTCTCAAGAGAATTTCCGTATCCATGGCAAAACTGGAAATACTGCAAAAGCTGCAGCTTTCACGATAGCTGTGCGTGCAGAATCCGGCACAGCAACACCTTCGACTGGGACTTTAAGATGAGTCTACAGCAGAGACAGTCAACAGTGACATTATGGCATTTCTCATATTTCGGTCATCAGCTGGAGTGTGTAGGCACAAGAAATGAATATTAGATTAAATTAAATTAAATTTAACTTCAAGTTTCAACAGAAGTTTGGTTTGCATTTGGACTGAAAAAGTCCAATTCAGAGGCAGGCCTGGAATTTCTGCTTAATCCAAACTTGCTTGCCTAACTTTTCAAAATCATTAGAAATAAAAGGGAAGAAATGGGTCTTAGAAAATACATCCTTTTATTTTATGAGTCTCCAGCCTACTTAAACGTTGTCTAAAAATACACATTACAACTTTATCCTGTATATCCTTACCCAGGTGGACAATTGCACTTATGTAAGATTTTTTTTTTTTAACCCTCTAATTCTCTTCAATACATAAAAGAAACAACAACAAATAAACTCTTAATTCCACACCACAACATGAAAGAAAGAAAACCAAAATCAGGTCAGGAGACTAGAGTGCTATTAATGCACAGGCACAGTAATTGAAAAATACCTGTTTTGTGCATTCAAAAGCAAAGACACCTATTTTTTATGACTCCAAAATTACAATAATTAAATAAATTCAAGACTAAGATAGAGACACAGAGAGACAGAAAATAAAAAGAAAAGCTAGCGTTCACTCTCCTAGGAGAAACAAAGATGAACCTACCTTAAATAATTCAAACTCCTTCTTTGGCATCAACAGCTATCAATCCACAAAGGATATTTGCAATTAAAGTAAATGCATACACATCCATTAGGATCGAAATTACTACCTCTAAGCAAATAAGCAGAAAAAAACCCTTAAGGGAAAACATTTTGCTGTATCTCTATCAACTTTTTTCCCATGTTAGACTCTACGCAATACAGAAATCAGCCTTAGCCTGTACAAAACTATAAATCTTTTGACATATCAGTGGAACATGCAGATATTTTAGCCTTGCTGTCAATCTTTTCCTGCTCCACACGCACACATGCACACTTCAAAAGAAAGTCTTGCTGCTGAGTGGACGGTACCTGGATGGTGCGGGTATATGCAGGCTCTGACCAGCCTAGACCTCCTTCTTGATTCCTCAGAGGGTCCAAAATGTTGTTTGGCACAAAGCCTGTGCTGCCACTTTTATTCTGAACCTTCCACCACTGCTTTCTGTCATCCAGAATCTGAAATAATTTGGTAAATTAATTACATATTTTTTCTGACTTTCCTTCTACCAGTACTTAGACTGTGCATCATTTCAAAACAAAACCATAACTTTGCCAGGTTCTACAATTGCCAACAGATCTTACAAGATGTCCCTAAGAAACCCCTGTAGGCTTCCTTGATTATCACCATCATTAATTCTACATGGTCATACTGCACTTTTCAAATGCGGCTCTGAAGAAGGGATATGGAAAAAAAGCACGTAAAATCAGACACATGCTGGACAAGGCAGCGGAATGCAAATCAAATACTTGTGCAGAGAGGCTGGCATCTCTGCAACCTATATGCTGCTGACAAAAGGAATAAGTAACTACTAATAACCCAGGGAAAAGTGCAGTGTTCTAGGAGAGCACAAATTTGGGGAGAGAGCACAAATTACTTGGAGAGAGCACACTTCTGAGTAAAGAGGGAACTGAAGCAGGATGGCCAGGAGAAGTCCGAAATCTGACTAACGGCCGTGCAATCTCATACACATTTTCTCTCTCTGTTGCTCCCTCCCTTCCAAATCTGTCTAGCTTTCAGGGTACCAACTACTCCAGAAAAGGACAGTCTTTCACTATGCCCTGAGTGTACACAGATAGTGTTTGCCAGAGCCAGTTATTTAACTACTACTAAACGAGGCTTTTAAAAGCAACAACAGCGAAGATGGAAGAAACACATATATATAGTTTTCCAGCATGGATCTCTACAGCATCAATTCATAAGTCAGCACAGAATCTCCACTTATCTTGTCTACGATGCAGAACAAATTAACTGAACTTTCCAAATTAAGGGAGATAAATCAAACACATTGAAGTAATCATTAAGGACAGCCACACTGTCCACAGGAAAGGTACACTCAGATTTGAGTGGTACTAGAAATTTGTGTTTTCTCTTTGCAAAAACTATTACCTCTACGATCTCTTCTTTCATGACAGAAAGTTCACTGTTGTTTCTTGCCATAAATTCGTACTTGCATTTGGCATATTTCTTGGTCTGTGCTTTACTGTGTGCTTCATAGTTTCTGCAAAGGAAAGATCAGACTATTGTTCAGTGAGACATTCAAGCAAATAAAACCAGAGACAAAATGCCCTCTTCCAACAACCTGCAAAACATTTAAACAACCCTACCACCACCACCACCACCACATGATGCTGCTGTAGAACTACCTGTTCACAATACACTGATTCAAGTGCCAAGAAAAAAAGAAACAAAAGAAAGAGGTGGTCAAGCTACCTGGACCTCAAGAACTGGTAATCTTTACTGGCTCACTGCTTGCAAGATATATGATAACAACTTAGATCAGCAGGTGCCATTGTTTTAAAACAAACACATACACTACACTTAGTCTGTTTTCCTACAGCAGGTTAAACAATCATTTGCCATATAAACAAATGACTACACTTAGTATATAATTGGTATCTTGTGCTTTGTATGAAGCTATTTCTAGCATTCATCATAAATTGTTTCAAATACATAATACATGGATAAATTTTTGCCATCAACACCAATGGAATTAAAACTTTAAAAAACACTCACCTACTGTAGATCAGTTTTCTTAACTGACCATAAGATACCATCAACTCATAACAACCTCAATTTACTGTATCAATTAAAAATGAAAAATAACTTCTTGGCAGTTACAAACAGGGTTCATTGTAGAACAAGGCATACCACAGTTTAACTCTATGTCTTTCTGTTTCCACAAGGAAGGACCTGTTCAGAATGCCTTTAGGTAAGAAGCTACTAATTTCTTTGACATAGTAGTACCTCTTCAAGTTGAGAAGCCCCAGAGCCCCCTCAACACAGGACCAAAAGAAACAGTAACATTATTCACTTATTGCAAATTACACCCAACAACCTAAATCCACACCAGGTAGTAAAATTAAAAAAAAAAAAATCCAAACAGATAATGGAAACATGAAGCAATCAATGGCTTGAAATTCTGTATACAAAATCACAGCACAGGGATACGAATGCAGACAGTTGCTGATGTTGGTGCTATGTAACCGTGGGTCCCAGGTGTGCCTAAGCAATCCAGTAGTTACCTAGCTATTGCATGGCTGTGGAGAACTGTCTCACTTGAGCAGAAAAGCAGAACAAAGGAAGAGTCACATTTAGATTGAAAGATTATTTTGAAAGACAGGCAAAGTACTAAAAGTGTTTAAGGAAGAGTGAAAAACATGGGATGAACCCCAGCCTGCAGAACAGCTGTTATGAGCCTGAAAGGTGTGTGAGTAATCCCAATTTTTTCCACCACCCACTCAAAATTCATGTAATTTTGAACTCCTTTCTTACTACCTCAGGGATATGACTAATGCGCCTCTGAAGTACTTTTACTTTTAGGCTGCCTTTCCAAACTCATTTCACTAACTTTCTTCCTACCTTGTCCACACCTAAGTATCCTGATCCCTTCAAAAAACATAAATCAGGAAGAATTTTTAAAAATGCTCATGTTTCAGTTTTATTCCACTCTGTTGCAATCAACAGCAACATCCCCAGAACATGGGCCAGGCAATAGCTGTATGCTTCTGAAGAGACCATAATTCTTCAAGCCCAGCTTAATGAGCCAAACAGTTTACTCGGGGCACAAATGTTCTCAACACTTCCCTCCATCCATCCTCCAGTGTGTTTTCTTACTGCCTATCAGATATACCATAACTGCAGCCCTCTGCTCTCCTGTGCACACTGCTCAAGAGCCTAGTGGATTGCACAGATTTTCAGGGTGCTTTTCTTCAAATGACAGTGCAAAACCAAGCTACACAGCATACTACTTTGAAACACCGCACAACTTGCTGAAAAACTATTCAGTGCTCTTTCAGCATCAGAGAGGGTCCCCGATATACCTAATATCATATTGAAAGTTTAAGATCCTGACACTTAGTTTACATCACTCAAGGAAAGCACATCTTACTGGAGGTCCTGGCATGTTGGAATAAGGCTCACTGAAGTTCCCTGTGATTGAAATTTCCCTGGACAAGGTGTAGCCTACCTGTCCCTCAGAAGGTAGTGGGCGGCTTGGTCACTGCCTTCAGACCACTCATTAGGAATGGCAGCTTTGAACGAGGACCAGCAAATGATGGCTGAAAGGGTCAGCTTGAATTTCTCACTCCCTCCCCCAAACCCACTCCTCCACCTACTTCTTCACAGATGCTTCAAAATTTATGCTTTAAATGGAAGTTACTTGGGGTAATACATATTAACAGCTTTCCCCCAATAATGAGCTCCTACCAGGCACGTATTATATGTCTCAAGAGCCAATTAACAAATAGAAGTTTGTGTCGTATTGAACAGACCGGAAGATAGGGGCACACTGTGGATGTTTGCATCAGTACCAGCCATCTAGACTCCCTCCTTCAATCAGTGGTAAGAAACAGGCACCACTACAGCATGTCTCATTTCATATCTTTCAAAAGACTAATTTCACCTTACATGAACTGCTTCTTAGAAACACCCATTTCTCTTTACCCGCCACAAAGGAGGCTTGAATGACTCTTTCAGTTGCAGCCAGATACACCGATACCATCAATAGTTCAATGCAATAAGACCCATTCTCTAAACCTGAAATGGAGGCAACAACATTTGCACAGAATACTCTTACTCTGAATGGACAAAAACAGGTCTTATCACATTACAGATAAGAGAGAAAGGAATTTAGAGTACAGATCATCTAGATTTCAAGCTGACTGGTCCTGAGACTAGAACTCAGAAAGTAACCAAGTTCGAGAAAATAATTAACAGATGACTACTACTGCTGCTGTTGTTATGAAGAATAAGTCCAAAGTTCAGGAAAAGAATCGAGTCTTCAACCTGCACACCATATGGGAATTTGTTTGCATGCAGATTAACAACAGGATCTTTTAGCACATAGCTCAATACTAGGGATTATGCAAAGGTTTGCATCGAAAGCGTTGTTATCAATGCTGTTTTAACCAGCAATCTGATCTCAGAAGCTTAGCTTACACATCTTACATGGCACGTAAGCCAAAATACTATTCCATGTGGTGTATATGGAATACAGTTTGGCATGGGGGAGCAATTCCAACACTGCTTTACCGATTTAGTTCCACAGCTTGTGCTGGTATAAATTCTCCCCACAGACAAGGCCGAGACTCCAAGGATCACTGCATTTGATCTCATCAAGCTACTTGGATTTAGGCTAAAATGAAGCGGATGAAAGAGGATGTGCAAAAAGACACTGGTTGCTACGCAAATATTTCAGAGCATTTTCTGTAACATTGGAAAGAGAATGAAAGAAACAAGGAGTTACTATTCTGAAAGTGGATATTTATGCACCAGCCCAGACAACAAAAAGCAGGAGGCTACGGAGCACTAACTGAGCAGCTAGACAAATCAAACAATCATTCAAAACAAGGACAGATGAATCTCAGAGCGGACTTGTCATTCTTTGTAGTTCTGAAAAAAGCAAAGAGTATTTTTAAAAACATGAAACAAAGCAGAAATAAAATTTGAACCCAAATAGGAGGATTCTGTGTTCTCCATTGGGTTGGAATTTCACTATATCATTTTTGACAAAAGCATCAATTTCACAGCATATGTAAACAGGGTAGTTTCATAGAAATTATACTAAGAGATTCTTAATGATGTGCCTTAGAGAAGCAAGAGCAGAATCCCCACTGCTAACCAGAATCACTTCCTCATAAAAATAACGATCTGCTTCAGATACAACCAGAGGTAATTGCAGACACCGCCACCCCAATAGCAATAAGTCGGGACAGTTATCCACAGCACCACGTACGCCGTTGATTCAGTGTTACCTATCTACATGTCGGCTAACAGTTTGCTTAAAGGCAGCAACAGCCGCCCCCTGGTCCAGCAGAGGCCCTCTTTTGTAAACTGTGTTACTGAATGCATACCCATCCGACGGAGGGTAGTCGGGAACACTGGGAGGCTGGAAGACAAAAAAGAAACAAAGCCACAAAGTGGATTAGTGTCAGCAGCAGCACCGCCTAGTTCACTTAATCCAGCACCCCTAGGGTCCCTGTCAGCATTCACGCGTCCGCAGGTGCTCACGGTTCCGCTATGAAAAGTTAATAACTTCTGCATTTCAAATACATAAACAGGGAGATCAAAAGGATAAGAATAAAAGAATTTCTATCTTAAGTCATCCTACTGCATTAATATTGCAGCGGATATTCTTTAGAAAAACAGTTCTCTGGGGCAAGGTCCATGTCATCGCTCAGGTATCACTACAGCAACACAACTTAAAAACAATGGCTGAATGGCTTTAAAATAAACTGCACTGAGAAACCGCTTTGAGCTTTTGTTCTAGGTGTACGCTTAAAGCCAGAAACCTCTAGCTAGCTAACAGTATGTCTGTATAGGAAATAAAACCTCCCAGGTAAAATTATCACTGTATTGCAGGATCATAATATGAAGTGGCTCATATGTGTCACCCTCTCACTGAACATGACTATAGTCAAAGAAGAAATGCAAAAAGTAATGTGATAGTTGGTATAATTAAGGATTTTAATTAAGGAAAATAATCACAATTTATCACAAGCACATATAGAAGATTATTCAAGGCTTTAGGAAATTCTTTTTAAACAGCAGTCCTTTAAAAAACAAAACAAAACAAACAATGAAAAAAGCCAACCTTAAATTCAGCAATGATACTCTGCTTCTAAGAACTATTTTAAGCACCATTGCCCAAAACAAAAACAAGCTAAGCAGTTCATTTCTGGAGATTATGATATTGAAATTGCTCATTCTAGATCTTTTTCTTATACTACGATCCAGTTGCACAAGTTAGAACAGCTGAGATTCATCAGAAATCGCCAAATCTTTAAGCCTGGTTTGTTGGGTTTTTTGGTTGGATTGGAGGTTGGTTTTTTCCTGTCTGTGTGGCTACAGAAAAGCCGCTCACCTGATTTCTGTCTCCAAGTATCTGACCTGGCACCCAGAGACACTTGCCTACGGGACTGAGGGTTTATGAAAATAAAATAAAAGCACACAAAACCCTCCATACACATAGAATATTCTTTTAAACTTTATTATTAAGACCTCTTTGAAAGAAAAAAAAAAATCTCAGGTGTCATCTAGATTATACCTTACATCAAAAGACACCAGGAAGCAGGAACTCATTTTACTTCATGTACAAATTATGTGCATCGCCTTAGCCTCACTGCACTCTCTATCACCGGTTCCCCATCGTTTCACTGCCATTTGAAGTCCTCACTGCGGAACTGACTCCACCCTGAAACCCCTCTGGTCAGAGCTGTGTGTGGGACTAGATCTTAAGATTCAGTAATAGAGGAGGGGGGGGAAGAAAAAGAAAAAAGGGCTCTTATGAGCAGGAACCTCCAATGCCCTTTGCCAGATGCCAGAGCAGTCCCTGCCCGGCAGGGAGGGCAGCGGCACGCACCCCTTCACTCCCAGCACGGCACAGCTCGCGACACGCAGCCTGGGTCCTCGGGAGAGCAGTGTCACACCGAGACACGCGGCCAGTTAGTGGCAAGAGATGAACACTTAAGTTCTCATCTTATTTTTCCAGCACTCTTCATTAAACAAGCTCTTACAGCAGACTTAGGAAAGAATAATTATTCTGGTATCACCCACTCCGGGGCGATACTTCTGCTGCAGACAAATACATTTTGCACTCACACAGCTTTTTCCAGCTGAGCACCTACAGCATTTCACAGCTATTAAGCAGCTCGGTGCTTTTCCCCCTAGGGAAGTGCTGAGGCGGCACCGGAGCAGGGAGCCAAGGTACCGAGGTTAAATGACTTGCCCAAGACCATGCTGGAATCAGCGACAGTCACGAAACTAAGGCCTGACATCCCAGGTGCCAGGCACACAAATACCCTCAGTGAACTGGGATATACATGTTATTTTTTTTTGTCTTTTGAAGATTAAGTCAAAGAGGCTAAGTTGGCACAACTACCAATCCAACCAACATTACCACCATGAAAAAGAATGAAATCAACTCCCTAAAACACAAGCAACCAGAATACCTCAACGCATTTTCCCCCTCCGAATTTGTTTTAACTTCTTATATATAAATAGTAAGTGAAATTCTTGCAGTCATCAGAAGAGAAAAATTAATGCTCCTCTCTTTTCAATACTATTTTTTCTTTTTTTTTTTCCCTTTTTTTTTAGTAATTTAGAAGGAGCACAATGTAAACAAAAAAAACCTCCATGGAAATGTAGAGCAGCAGGGAAACACTGAGGCAATGTTTGATGAGACTTTTTGGGGAGATGACCAGGGAAGGGGGTGACAGCAATGGCAACAGCTACATTTCACATTATTGTGCCCATTAACTTTCTTAAATGCTTTTTTGCTCAAAATGAATCACTGGCAATAACTTAGTTTTTGGCACATTTATTCCTGTACATCTTGTTAGGCATAAAGCCAAGCAGTGTTTTAAGTAATCAAATACCTACCATGTTATCCTCCTTTGCTTGGCAGACTTTTTACCCAATTTGTTTGTGTCTACAGCTGAGCAGACTTTTTTTTTTTTGGCTAACAGAGATTTTCATTAGAACAAAGTTTTATCGTGACAAGATTTCCATGGGCAGCTTTGATAAACTTTTGCTGGGGAAACTTTGCTGTCTCCAATAACAGAATTGCTCTGCAAAACAACACCATCCCATAACAGCCAATAATCCTTCCCTTGAATCTTCTTCCATGTGCGCATTTTTTCACTAACAGATAAGTATATATATATATATATTTTATATACACTATAAAATTAAGATAAAATCCAGTATCATTGCCTTTAGATGTACTTCTAATATAGTACTGGTGTAGATTGCTTGAGGAAGACTATGGACTGAACCTAGAAAATTCTTAGGTGCACTTCCATATCACAGCTGCTAACAGGGGACCTTGGACTAGCTAACACTTGATTTAAACTAGAACTAGCATAGAAAAATAAATTAATTTTTTTAAATTAAAGCTTACATCCTCCCAACAAAGAAAAGCTTTCAAAATTAAAACTTTTATATGTTTAAAATGGCAATAGGGTTTGTTGTGAATTAAAAAGCAACAAAATCCACATATATTCTTAAAATTTTCACAAAAATCAAAGTACATTTTCTAAGTCTACTAAAAAAGTAGGGGGTAGAACCTTTGTTGAGAAACAAAACGACTGACTATAAAGTTGTTCAGAAAATACACTCTGGTTTCTCTGAAGGCTTTAGATGGTGGTGCATGTTTCCATTCCCTAAATAGAACAACCTAACTTTTGCTAAATTCATCACATTTCTTGGGAGAAAAGGATGGGAAAATGTTCCTGTGCAATAATTCATCTAATTGGCAGCTGTTTTTCAGAAGTAAGCCTAAATTACCTGACATAGCACCACTCTGATAGCACCCCAGAATACCTTCTTGCAATACAGTGAAAGTATCAAGAAACTAATGAAAGGAATATTAAATTCCACATTTGTGAAGAAGCAGCTTAAACCCAAAATTCCCTAAAAAGTGGTGTTTTTTTTCTTTTTGCCTGTGTGCCTGTGCATGGTTGCACATTTAAGAATACTTTGGTTCAAATTCTGCCTGAAGTGTATATGACCAAAATCAATGGGATCTGAAAGCACAGGTCAAGAATCAGACTGCACCTTAGGGGCTTGGACTGCCCTCCCAACTGAGGTAGGAAAGTGCCCCAGGTTCAAGGAGAGCAGTAGGCAAAAGCCTCATATTTTTCCTAATTGCATTTTTGGTGGCTGAACAGGTATTTGGTTCCGTATAACTTTAATGTAAGCGTAATGAGCTCGCACTGATGTAGCAGGCCTCAGAGCACAGTTGCTCCAACAACGTCACGGAGTATTTTCTTTATGAAGGAAGCAGTTGGTGTTGCCTTCAGCTAAATTACAAAACGCTGTCGCAGGTAACTTACCTCAGTTGACAGTCTTTTCATTTCTTGCTTCCGCTGTTGCTCTGCAACGTTTGCCACAGACTCAGCCAAATGGTTGAGTTCTTGCTCCTTTGGAGCTCCCATGAAGTTCAGCAAAGGGGGCTCCCAACCATTTCGGAAACGGGGGACATAAGGTGGAATAAAATGGTCTTTGGGCCAGTCCGCTCTGCATGAAAAGTAAATCAGAGATCTGTATCAAGGGCCACACAAATATTGGCTTAATAGGTTTCCTAAAAATTGAAGTACTTTAGATTTTTATTAGCATAGGGTACAGGCTGGGATTACAGTAAAGATGAAATTGTGCTAGAACAGAGAAAATGAGCAAAACACATTTATTGACCACAACTATGCTCCCTGCTGTGCCCTACAGAAAGAAACTGCTCCTGCCATAAGGACACGTCAGTGGTAAAACACAACAGACTTCTGTCTTGTAGCAAAGGATGAGTAATAGAAGAATCAATCACAAAAAAATCTAGGTTTTGTTTAAACTGTTAGATGGGGTGAAAGCACTGGACAAGACTTCAAAGAAACAGCCTGCTTTATAAGAAAGTCTGAAAGCAGGTATGAGGCATGGAAGCTTAGGGGGCCTAGCTACACCTAAAACAAAAAGTTAAACAATAGCTTTTACTGACAAAAACCCCCCAACTCTACATTCTCCAAGACACAAGAGTTATCATCACATTCGCTGTTTTATAGTCCAGATTGGTCTTTTAAAAATACTATATTAGAGAGCTCCATTAGCGTTCCCTATTGTAATACAAAATACCTAAATTAACACTTTCATGCTCTGCATTTTCACCATACTGTCCTACAATATAAATTACTGTATCTTCGCAGTGGAAGCAGAAATGGGAATATACGTTACAGTCTTTTAACAGTCTCGTTGTTGACACTGCTAAAAATTAAGGGACAAATGCTGCCAGTCACACAAGTTGCAGGACCAGGCAGCAATTACCAGCCCATTAGCAGGCCTGAGCTAGGTCTGTAACCCTTGAGTTTTATCAGTCACATCTGCTATACCACACCACAGGGTACCTCTGTATACTGAGATCAGATCATCATTTCTAATCTGCGCAGGTCAACCAACTGTAGCCCAAGTGCTTCATTCTTCACTGCCCAACATGAGCTACTTCTCTTTCCATTAAACCTTTTCCAGGATGGACTAAACGAATGATGATTGTCGTTTCCAAGACAAGAAGCCCATTATTTTACACAGTGATCCATTTTCCCTGCATGGGCCTCCAACGCTATGAGGCAATTTCCACTGCCAGTCCCACCACAAGCTGCCATGAAGCCAGCAGAGCTTGAAGCAGGTGAAGGCAAGCGAATGGTGCTTTGCTGGGGCAAGCTCCCTGGCAGTCACGAGGAGCTGCAATTCCTGTTTCCAGCTCATTTTGTAGTAGCAGGCTGAATGATAGGCCCAAAGAATGAATTTGGACATTCCTGGTCGTGCAGCAGAGTGAGATTAAGGAAGGGAAAGACCTGTACATCGCTCTCCCTCCTCTGAGGATGTTTGTCATGCCTTCCTTACCAGCAAAACACTCAAATACTTTATAATCAATCAAAGAAATCCACTTGGTATATATTTATGTTCCAATTTGAAATCTAAGAGCAAGGATGAATAAACACAAAATACATGAGGCGTTTCCAGCCCAAGTGACTCCATACTTACTCATTATCAAATGTACTTATCTACCACATATTACAAAGCTAAAACACACTTTGCTAATTCAAGCTTTTTCTGTTGCATGTTCTAGTTACCTAAGTAATTTCAAACCATATACTTACCTTAAAAACAACAAATGCATAAAGTAGTTAATTTTTAGCTAAGCTTAACCATAATAGTGAATCCATTAAGCACAACGTGTAGGGTATGCACATGTAACATGGTTCAGCCAATAAGCATTGCTTCAAAATTATAAGCATTTTCTTTATAGCATTATGACGCTTTTGAAGAAGTAAAGACATTGTAAATTTTTAGCTTTTGACAATTATTGGAAACTGAAAATAGAAATCTGTATCCTGTTCTTCAATATTTCGTCACTTTTTATTGCAGCTTCTTCAAATTGAATTTTAACAAAGTCCAGGTAGCTGGGTTGGAAAAATAATGGTGAAAACCAACTGGAAATATGCAAGGGACAGCTCAGAAAAATTTACTGCAAGAGGTTGTGTCAAAAGGTTCTTCATACCATGGACAGAACAAAAACTGTCTGCATTTTCTCCCTCCTTGAGACCCCTAAAATCAAACCACTCCCAAATTCCACTGAGGCTAAAGAGTTCCTTTCCAAAAACTTGAAAGAACAGTTCTGAAGAGTCCAAAGCCTAACAAATTAATACTGAAGTTACTGGGGGGTCGATAACCTGGTTAAGATTGTGTCAATAAACTTGAGTTGAGAGATCATCTGTAAAATATGCAGAGGCTTTTTCTCACCTGGCTTTGGTCCATGTGTCACCCAATGACATCCACAACTGCCCTTCCTCACTGGTAACAGTATATCGCAGGAAGTCTATCGCATCTTTTGTTAAGAGGGGGCTGAGTACTGTACCAGCAAGCTGTGGACCTCCTGTCGTCTGTACCACCTAAATACAAGCATTAAAAAAATACAAAGACCGTACACATTGTCAGTAAGGAAGTTACTGTGAATATAAGTTACATGAGTGCTGCTAGGAAACATTTATCAGTCACCTTCCTCCTCCCCCCTTCCCCCCCCCCCCCCAAAAAAAAAAAAAGAAACAAAACTCTGAGAAGCTAACAATGTGTCTTAATGTCCTACAGATTAACTAAGCCATTTATTGCAGTACTGCTGTTCCGGTCACCAACCATTTTATATTTAGACCCACTTTTGGCAATGTTATTTTTGCTCTACTGATCAAAACCACACATACTTCCATTAAATAGACATATAGCTATGCTTTCAACTCTCCTCCTGCATTATGTAAAGTATCTCTATTTTTTCCTGTTAATTAAAAATTATAATGGCAAACATAACACACAGTGCTAAAGATGATTTAAATAAATATATTTAATAGATGGGAATATACACAGAAAAGGATATGAATTATTTTCTAAAGAGAACCTCAACCTGAGATACACACATTTCTCCTTAGTTACTGTCCAGGGATGCAACATTTCAATCTTGTTATGCTTGTAAAGGTTACAGAGCATATAACTACAAGAGCTTTGAAGGAAAACACTGAGAAAATTATAAAACCTTACCATATGTAGTGGGGTAAAGAGAAAATGAACCAGTTCAGCTGCACTAGGATTCTGGATATGGAACTTTAATTTGGCCTGAAGGAAGGGGAAAATGATACATTTTAAGAAACATTTAACTTTTATGACAATAAATACTTCACATATCAATGGCCATCCCTGGTCAGGCCACAGGTCCACCTAAACCCAGTGTTTTGTCTGCAACATCCGCTAAGTGCAAGCACTCGTTCATCCAATTGCTTTTGAATCCATGTATATCTTTAGCACCTATTGTGCAAACCAAGAAGTTCCGCAACTGAATTATATGCTTTGTAAAGAAGCAACTCCTCTGGAAATTTGCCACCTCTTCGTTTCATTAGTATTCTGTAGTTCTTTTCCAAATGAAAAATGAACAGTCCTTTCCTACTCTTTTTCCAGAGATGCTCATAACCATCTACAGATTTATTATATTCTTCCTCTGTTTGGTCTTTTCCAAGCGAAGTAATTCCTTTGAGTATTCTTGCCCTTCCTGTAACTTCTTCAGTTTTGCTATGCTAGGGACAAAATAAGGCCAGGGAACACATCGGCACATTGATGCTCTTCATTCGTTTGGGGTTTTTTTTTTTCCTAATAGTTCTTAACATTTGCTTGGTTGATCACCATTGAACGCGGATGATGTTCTCACAGGAATCTGTATTGCCTCAACATTTTGTTCCGATTTGTTTTATGTATGAGATTTTTCCCCACCTGTACGCGATTCTATCATATCTATCAATATTGAATTTCATTTGTCACTTTATCTGCTATCATGAGATACTTCTACATTTGTATGCTCAACACTCACCATTTGCCAGAACACCTGTAAATATGTTGGACAGCAAAGGCCTCTGCAGAGGCACATGTGGGACTTCACTGCTAAATTTACTGCACTTTGAGAACCAGCATTTTAGTCCTATAATTTGTTTTCTGTGTCACCAAACAAGAATCTAAGAAGCTAAATTCAACCTCTCAGGACGTCAGTTTCTTTAAGAATTTCAGAGTGTGCAGCCTTGCTGGATGTGTTTTGGAAATAAAAACAAAAAAAACCCCAACAAATCAAAGAATTGATGGATTTATAGACATTATTTTGTTTTTTCAAGCATGTTTGCTTCTTCCTAAATTTAATATACCTGCCTACAAACTGTACCCTATGAGGAGGGTGCATCAGCAGTACTTGGTTGTCATAGTCCCTCAGATCCCTGGAATGACATTAAAGATTATCAGCATTACCTTAACTACTTCTCTTCCTCTGGAAGAAAGGCAGTTTCAGAGAGGTTATACACCATACCATGTGGTTTGCTGACTTAGTTTTTGGAATAGATGGATGAACAGTGTCCATTCAAACAGGGCTTCTATTCATCTGCCTGTAACTTGCCATTTTGATTTGCTGTTCTTTAACCCCTTACCAGTTCTTCAATTGGAAACAGGTAATCTCTTATGCCCCCCATAAAAAAAAATTGTTTTCATGAACATACCATCCACTCTCAAGCTTTTCCAAATAAATATATGCATTAAAAAAAAATCATATACTTTCTCTGATTCAGGTTCTTGGAGGATTTCTTTTATTTACTGATTACCCATTGGCCCTGCAGGCTCCAGAAGAAGCATGCCAGAATGTGTTTTAAAAAGTTATAGTATTTTTTTATTGCATCTTGCCATCTGCCTCAAACTGCTTTTGGCTAGCCTCATTCTACTCTTACATCTAGCCTTCCAGAGTGTGTCTCCAAATGAAGAAAGGAAGAGGACGTGTTTTTACTTCTAATAACTTCCTATACGTTGTTCTTCAGTCATAACAACTTTCATTTGATCTTTTCTAATGTTTTTTTGACAGATGGTAGGCATTTTCTAGGAGCTTCCAGCATGGTATTTTAAAACAGTTTCCATTCTACTGGCAAGGACTTTAGTCTTCTAGCTATGCCTTTTATTTTTAAAATAGATTCTTAAATTTATACAGTTATCCATGTCTGACATAAAGTCCCAAGAAATGAAATTTCAGGCTTTTCTGGGTCCTGCAATGATGCTTAAGTAAAGCACTGTTATAGCACAACTCTTCAAAAGCAACATTAGAAACTACATCCTAGATGCTGCTAAGCACCAAAACAAGAAGTGTTTCTTCTCCTGTACGGAATATAAAGATTCAAAGATGCACATGTTTTTCTTGGGTGAAAAACTAATTTAAATGCAGAACGCACTCTGAAGTAAGAATGGAAAAAAATTAACATTATAAGCTCTGTTACTGAGAAGGATCAGCATGTTCTAAGACATCCATCCCCCCAAAACCAGCAATCAATACAGGTCAAAATCACAGCATTCAATATAAGGTTTCAAAAAAACCCCCAAAAACCCTATTCTTAACATTTCTAAAAATCTCCTATAGCACTGCAATTGGAATTCATGCCCCAAGAGGAAGAAAAAGCTGATTTGACTCAGTGAATGCAAGAACAATTTTCCCCATTGGCATAGCTTCCCCAGCAATTGGAAGGGACAGTCAGTATCTGAAAGAAAATGCTTTGAAGGTGTCCCACATGCTGCTTTCCTTTAATAGCCCTTCCAGAAGAGGAGATGCCAGGAGAAGGCTCTTGGATTAGCATCTCCGCTTGTTGAGAACCTATAAAGCAATTTGTTAGAGGGAATGTTCTGAGGCCAGAAAGGTCCTATGTAATGATGACAACAAGCACAGAGAGTCTGATGGGCATAGCTGAATAAAACTAAATTAAGGCCACAGCTGGTGATGCTGGCAAGCATGCAACAGAACCATGATCCCAACAGACATTCCTAGAAACTCTTTTCCAATTTAAACTCAAATTTCCCAAGTAAAAGGCTTTAAAGAACCAGGAAAAGAAGAAACACAACAATGCTGAAAAAGAAATATGGTCATCTAGTCACTGTGTATAGAGCCCTTGAGGAGGAGCATCCCAAAGCTGCCTCAGAGGCCAACCTCAGCCAAAGGTGGCCAGCTCCGCTCTTGTCTCTTTTCAACCTTGGATGCAGAAGGAAAAGGTGAACGTCCAAGATCAGTCAAGTATCAGCTGAGCTATCTTCCTGTGTGTCAGCCAAGGACCAAACAAGATCACATTTCCAGGTATATCGGCATCCTTGAAGAGGATACTTGTGGGTTTGCTCTTTCTGAAAGGACAGTGGAGACCAAGACACCACAGACCTAGGCTCACTATTCCCTGCATGGCATGACCATGTCTGCAGAGCTGGCAGCAGTAGGCCATTTAAAACCCACAAGGTTTCTTTATGTGGACAAGGCACCCCGAAAGTTACAGACAGAAGGCAGAAGACTTAATACATTCCCAAAGACAAGATAACCTTCTGCAACTCCCTCAGAGGAGTCAACAAGAAAGCATCCACACCCACTAGAATAGCAGGAACCTCCAAGGAAACTCAAAAGTATCTACAAAGCAAATCTGTCGTGTTACTGATTCTTCCTTCTCTTCATCTTTCCCCAGAATTTTAGTTCTTCGCTTCATACTAGTGAAATAAGACATAGGAAAATCAATGCAGCAAAACCGACACCCAAATTAATTTGTAGCAGCAGGGAAAATACAGATCACGTTATGCTTAACATCAATTATCCCACGAAAAAAACCCCTGTTACTGCATGCCTCACACCACCATATCCACTAGCAGTCACCTACCAGAAGATTGAAGCCATGCTTGAATTTTTGGAAGCAGTCAACAAATTCATCTGGAGGTGGTGGTTTTGCACGGAGAGTAAGAACTCCCTCTGGTGAACAAAACAAGATTTATAGGGTATATAATTTCTGTAAATATTACAGGTATAGTAAACATATAAATACATAATAAATTTACCAACTTACAGAATTTTATAAATATTAGAACCACAACAGTGAGCATATTCTGCAGTCTTATCTCTAGTCACTCCCCACTGACTCAAATCAAATGATTTTCACAGGTTTCCCTCTAAGAATACACCGCGTAGGATTTTTTTTATGCTCAAAGTGAAACAAAATTACTACATTCATGAAAAAAACAACACAAAAAGACACATTTGCTAGCTACTTCAATGATCCTCAGAGACACAGAATTGTGTGCAGTAAGAACTCCTACCTCCAGGTCCTTTCTTTTTACTTTTCTTAGTTTTCTTCCTCTTTGAAAGTTCAGCAAATGCTTCAGCAGCTTTTTGAAGTTTGGTAACAAAATACTCAATGTCATCCAAAATATGGTTCAGAATTTGCTATGGGAGAAAAGAAAAATAACAGTTTCTCTACAGAACCTATTTAGCAGAAACACTCCAGAAATCAAAATGACTACACTCTCAGACACCAACAGCTTCCTCGGGACAAAATCCATGCTCAAATATTGCTTATTTAGATTAATTTTGTTCTTAACTTTACAGACCTGTAAAGTATTTTAAATCTTAGATTTTTTAAAAATTTAGGGCCACTGGAAGTTTTTTAAAATATAAGCATCAAGATTATTAAATTCAGATTGGAATTACACAGTTCATTCACACATTACATTTTCTCTTGCAACACATGAAAAAACTTCTAATTATTTGTGTAGGACAGCATTTTCCTAAACAGTATAACTTCATAATCTCCTTTAATACAAAGTATTAAGCTCTTCGTTGAATGGCAGAATGTAGTTTTATAGAAGTACTCTTTCAAGAATTGTTTTCACAGAGCAAGTGGAGGAGAATGAAGGAGCCCCCGGGGAAAACATGTATACACCAATTCAGCAGGCCTCAACATGCTTTCCTCAAGACCCTCAGATGTTGCTGAGGGCAACATCAGAGTAGAAAAGTAGAACTGACAAATGGGGCAATATTTGATATTGCATACATCATAAGACCTGCCCAATGTTGTTGCTTATAGGCAATATCAGAAATGACCCTATGTTCATTTTCCAGATACTGCACATATCTAAGTCACACTAAATTAACGGACTTTAAGTTTACCCTTACACAGTTTGCTGAATTTGGTCTACCACATAAAACTAGCATTTGTATTTCTAGCTCTTCAGAGCAGAAAACTTTGCATCAACATTCAGTACTTTTTAATTTTCTTTTTTTTTTTTTCTCCAAGGAAAAAATAAGAAAAAGAACAACCATCTATTCATTTTTAAGGTCTACCACACAAACAAAGGCTGCCTGGAAAACTTTCCTCCAGAACTAATTTCCCATGTGGAAAAAGCCTTCCCACAAAGTAGAGCTGCAAAATTTCACAGACATTAAGCAATATCACTTGTAGTTTCTCACTTACAACATCTCTGTCAATCCTGGCTGCTATCATCTCTGCTGTTTCTTCGTGATCATGGTACTGTCTATGTTTTTCAACTGCAGAAAAGGGAAGAAGATAAGACGACATCTATACACACAGAATTAGTAACCAACATTTCCTATACAGCTTATGCTTGAAACCATACTACCATGAGAAAAAGACGGGAAATGTTTGTACCATTCACTTTGCAAGGACTCCACACAATCCGAAAACCTTGCATCCTAATGCCTGATCCTGCCACATCTCATACAAAAAAGCCTAGGTGTATGCTTTCAGTCAACTTAGCTGCATAAATGAAGTTAACCACAGAAGTGTGGGACCAGGGTCTAAATCAAAAAAGTGGCAGATTATAAATACAACATAATGAGAAATCACCCCATTTTGCAAAATATGCTGAAAGCTACTCCAGCAGAAGTAAGCAGGAAGGAAGAGTGTAGCCATGACTTCAAAGAATTTTGATGTAGAAGGTAATAAAAAAAAGGGACTTAGGCATTTGGGCAGAGAGACCAAGTCTGGCAACGCAGAAATGGGAGGTAATGATGTGATAAAACAGGTATTTCCAAATAGCAACGGACAGTGTCAGTAACTTTTATTCTAAAACAACAAGGGTTAACATTTTGAGCAATGATAAGTTTTGCATTTTTAAGTCACATTAAATACTGTATTGCTTTTGTTAACAGCTGGGATTTTAGTAAATGCATTTTTATTCCATGTGAGTGGAATAAAAGGAACTGCAGTAACTCAGGTCCACAATTGGTCTAGGAAGACAGACCACTTGACAGACTAATGAAACTTTTCTGAAGTTGAGATGTTGTCAAACAGAGGAACAAACTAGCCTTTACTCAAGACAGATGTAATAGTGTAGGTTAGTAGATGAAAACATTCTTAACATTACAGATTTCTCTGAACATTTTTAGTTGTTTTCTTTGCATAGTTGTGTACTTTGTTGAGTGATACAGTTTAATAAACCAAAAATGATAAAGACTCCATGGTTAATGACTTCTAATTCTAAAATTTTAGTATCTATTATTAAAAGAAAAAAACCAAGCCAAACAAATCCAAACAGGCCTCACTTTAACCAAGTTTATTCCCTTAATACAGTCTATTTTACAGAAGGAACTTTATTGTTTCTAAAGAATATTTTTTTCAAAGAAATCTGATCAAAATGAAAGTATTTGTTAGAGAGTAAAAAAAAAAGGGGGCAAACAAAAAAAATCCAAACCCATCAGAAAAGAACACTAGTTTAGCCATACAGGCCATTATAAAGATAAATATAAAATAAGTAAATAATGCTGAACTCTAGTCACCTTTTAATCTGTGATTATATCTTTTAATTGCTCAAAATATCTGGCCTACGCTCTCCCTACTACTAAAGAGAGCATCGTTAAATTACTGGAGTTAGGCCAGTACCGATTACTGTGAATATTACCACGTTCACAAAAAAGCCCAGGTTAAAACCCATAGCTCGCACCCTCACCCAGCTAAACACAAGTAAAAGAGGCTCTGAGCAGCAGTTCAGAAAACGGGTAACTGCAAGTAAATGACAAGTCAGATTATGACAGTCAGGTCTTATTCCCCAGTTCAGGCAACGGCGGCTTGGGGCATTTCAAACTAGACGGGGAGAATAATCCTGTCTGCTGTCAGCGAGGACAGAGGGGTGACCTCGTACAGCCGCTTCTGTATCTGGATTCAATTACCGTAATCCTTACAAAAGCGGTCTTCCCAAATTACTTCCGTTACTACCGAGCACCATCAAGACCTACTGCCCAGAGCAGCCGTCGGCCGCCGCACCCCCAGCGACACTCACGCTCGCCCTGCTCGGCGGCCCAGGCCGACCACGCCGCCACCCGGCTTCTCACGTCCACTTGGGTGATGGTCCCCGGCGGCACGGGGGCAGGCGCCCGCGGCGGCGGTGGGATGGCGCCGTCAGCCTTGGATATCATCCTAGAGGGAGAGGAGAGAGCCCAGAAGTGACGCTTGAAGGAAAAGCGTTCTGCTGGCTGGCGCTCAGTCAGGGAGGACGAGGAGGCTTCACAAGGACCTCTTCTGCTGGTGAGCATGCTGCGGGCTTGCCAAGTAAGCAGCACCCGAGACCACGATGCGCAAATACGTTAAACGCAGTAGGAAACCTGCTCCGTGATGGGGTTACCTGGCCGCACGGGAAATCCCCAAGCAGTGCCACAGAACGTAATGTCTAGAGACCTGCCAGTTCACACAGGTAAATTCAGGGGCTTGCGTTTAGCAGGTGGTGTTTTTACCACCATATGCAGTTGACTGGCTGGACTTCCGTTTTGTGTGAAATTTTTCATTAGAAGTTACCCTTCAGCCATCACAAGTTAAGTATCTAGTCCCCAAATTTGACAGGTTGCCAACCACCCTTTTCTTAAAATCCTACCAACAAAACCAGTTAAATTTACTTGCTGATTTTCCTTTTTGTAACAGTGGCCTGTTCATCCTGTCTTGATACAAATGTCTCTATGTTCCCACCTCCAGCTTTCCCGTTTTCCAGTTCTTAGTGTCGTTTTAAACACCATAAGGAAAGAGGTCTTTGAAGTCATTCTGAAGCTTGATACCAACAGACAAAAAAAATCTCAACAGCTCCTGTCATACACACATCCCATCACTTCTCCATGCCCCTATTTAAAAGATCTTCACCTTAAATTCATCTCTTTAAAATCTCATTCATGGCATTCAACAACGCAAAATGTCAAGCGTTATTCAGTCTTTGAACACTGAACAAAAAAAAAAGTTTCCTTCACCTTTCCTTCCTCCAGTCTCCTGGGCACTCTTCTCCCCATGTCCCACACTTCTCCTTGTCAATAACATTGCAGCAACTCCATAACGCACTGTCAGGCAGGAGGGTCTCTCCCCGCGACCCGATGTCAGCATGTGCATGATACGACAGCGAGTAACTGGCACTAAGCTGTCACGCACTCATGACCTCTTGGCCCTTGGAGACTGATATCTCAGAGAGCTTTTCCCACCAGATGTACTGACCTACAGTCTCTTCCCAATTAAATCTTATTAGTTTCCCAGCACATCCAATGTGTCTGAGTCCTTCTAGATTGCCTCTTTGTACTTATACCTGTTTGTTACAGTCCCACAAACAGTAAAGTCTACTTATTTGATTTTAAACCCACAGAAAAAGTCAGACATAGTTCAGTTTTCGTTGTGTTTTTATAGGAGTGTCCATTACTCTAGGAAAACTTTGTAAGTTGTGCATCAGAATTTAACAGGTAGCTAAGACTGTTATAAACTCATTCATACAATGATGACATTTTTACTTAATGATTTTTGTCCAGCAGAGACTTCTCTATCTGAACCACAAAACTGTTATTGACATTATCAGGATGCAGTTACATACTAACTTTTCAACAAACTACCACCATTACCATTCAGTATCTAATATATCTGTGCCCTTGTTTCTACATCTCTGTTGGCTACCTCTCATTTCTCCATTAATCTCCTCTGAACCCAACAGACTCTTTTCCCTCACATTTTCCAGCTGGCAGAGAAGTTATTGCTACCAGGGAAACAAGGAGTCTTCACCATCATTAAACAGGCAGGCAGGAAGATTATTCAATCTTCAGGCACTGTTTCATTTAACATCTTTAGATCCCAAAACCTTTTATCATAATCTTACTTACTTGGAGTTATGGGGCATTTATGTTTTAAATTTAAATTCTGAACTACTTGACCTATATGCAGAACTGAGACATGCAATGCTATTCTCTGGCAAGTGGGATTGATGTCAGCTGTTCCCATCACTAAGGTGGAATTGGGAAAGGTAAGAGTGACACTATAAATTGAAAGAGCATGAAAGAATTATTAAAGCAAGGCCTCTACACGTGGTTTTGGAAGTATATTATCAACTAGCAAAAAAGAACAAAAGATAGCAGGCAGACTTGGAGAGCTTCTGAATGCTGTAACAGTATTTGACGATCCTATATACTGCCAAGAACTTAGGTTTTTACCTCAGTGTTTCAAGCCTCTTCTTTTGTTTCCCACTTTTACTGTCACTGATTGCACTTTCAATATCTTCATGAATGAAGCTAGCCTAAAGAGGCAGAAGCAGAAACCACCGGTTATCAGTTAGACTATCCAGATATACAAAATAAGTATCTCCTCATGCCCTTCTCAGGGCATCTGTAGATTCCAGAATACCTTATCAAATCCCATTTAAAAGTTCTGGGATAAACTATTTTACATGCAAACAGAACAAAGAAACACACAATGCTATTGTCTGGGAGTTGGTATTTTTGTCACTGTTCCCATCTCAAGCATCCAAGCTCATCAGATGAGCATGTCATCTAGATACCAAGTTTGTCTGAACAGCTGTAGTTATCTCAAGTCAACCATTATTGCATAAGCTATTTTTTCCCTCTGTGTATACCATTTTTGTTTTTCTCAAGTATGTTAGGGGGAAGACATACTGTAAAAAAAAAATCTACTATAGATAGTAGCAGCAAAACCACTATAGACAGTAGCAGCATAAAGTATTAGGAAAGTAACTTGTAGCAATACAGTTTCCTTTAAGAAATAACGATAGCCTCCAATTTCTCTTTGATGTAACAGAAGATGAATTTTTCAGTACATTTCCTAATCCGTAGATTCCTGTCTCTCCAGAACTGCAGTCTGCCTCCACCAGTGGCAAAGTGAAATTTTGATATGTGTCTAAGGCATTATTTTAATGGAGCTTGTGTTAAACAGGTCACAGCTTCTCATAGGATTTAGAATGCTGTGTTACCTGTCTTCAGCTGATAAATTTATTTCCTACACAGGTTGTCAAAGCCCAAATCTGTCAGTGTCTGGCTCACTCTACAAGGTCCACATCTTTCTTAGTACCCTCATAATGGAGAAATACACAACTTTTTAGGAGAAATATGTAACTTCTGCTGGGACCAGAAGACTTTGTTGAATTTAAGATACAAGGGGATTAAGGGACTTCTCCGGCTTAATAAATTGCACTACAAAATACAGATGAGGGATACATTAAGGTTAAAGAATTAATAGAAAAAAAACTTAAGGGAATTTGAGGAACTTAAGCGCAGAAGAATTCCATTAATCATACTCTTGATATTTATTATTTAACAATTTTTTTGTTCACAAAATATTGAATGCCCCAAATATTATTGATTTTTTACTAACTTTCTATCGCAGAGGCTCCTGAAGTTCCTGGTAACTTCTAATCAAAAGCATGAAAGAGACAAGGGAGAAAGACCTAACCTTTCAAAAACAGCCAAGTCTCATGGGTAAGGAACAAAACCTAGGGTATGGTCACACATTCAAACAATACCTCAGAAGAAAAGGGGGATCCTGGACTTCCAAGTCATGCTTACATGCTCTGCATTTTTATTTGTACACAGAGGCAGAACTTCAAAAGATGAAAATCTGAAGAAAAGAGACTGCCTCTACACTTTGGGAAGCTGGGTCCAACCAGACCTCAAAAAGGATCCCTGCATTATTTAACATAAAGCCACCTGAACTTCTCACAGAATCCCAATTTCCATTGAAACTGCAAATTCTGCGCAACAAATCACACAATTAGCCAGTCATCTTCACATCCCACTCACTATACCAGTTTCAAAATGGTTGCACAATGTGATTAGCAATCTGTTTTTTTAAGAGAATGATATCAACTACTACAAAGGAATTAAAAAATCCCCATTAAATTATCAATCAGAATTTAAAGAAATAGCAATTATATAGAGTAACTAGCAAATTAAAATTTATAACCCTGGCAATAAAGTAGTATTGTGCAATACATTTTAAAAAATTATTTATGCTTGAAAGGAATATTTTAATCAGAGGTGAACAATCTTTTTCCTTATTTTGCTCCTCCTGCAAGTAATATTTTCCTTTTCATTTTCTCTCCAGCTGAGCGGAGATGCAGACAGGTGAGAATGTAGAGAAGGTTTAATTGTTCAGCGACAAAAAGAGCAGAAAAAGGAAAAATTAGGTAAGACTCAGGGCTGGGATGAGTTGTTTGCAGATTACAAGATAAATTTGAGATAACTCAAACTATTTTACACCACTTTCTTCAGAAGCGTGAATGCAAACCATATACATATTCCAGAGTTTTACTCATTTACAAACCTAAATGAACAGCTACAGAGCACAAGAATCAATATTTACGGTAGTAACAACATACTTGAACATGCACTAAGAATTCAGCTTACATACTGGACTACTCTCTTGCAAGACATACTACACTACATTTACTAACATATTATAAGTAGTGTCTGTATCATAAGTGCATTAAACTCAAAGTATATTTATAAGAATAAAAGAACAGAATTATTTTCTGTGAATCAGCTCACTTGATTTTATCCACTGTACTTGCCAATTCATAAAATTTCCCCTATTCAAATAAGTCATAGCAGATCTCCATTACTATCTTACCTTAATCTCATCACATTGGAAAAGATGCAAATCGGGCTTGTTTTGGGTTGGTTCTTTACATACTAATGCAAGAATTGAATTGTAATTGCATGCATTCATCACAGCTTGGCAATGCTGAATTGTGCTTAAAGGAAAATTCTCCAGTTCATTCTGCCGGAAGAGAAAAAAAAAAAACAAACCACAAACACCACCTTACTATACAGAGTCCTGATCTCAGAAAAGCTGCACGAGTTAAAAAGGGAATGTGATAATAAGCTAATTAGAATACCGAATCTCACATACATCATTTTTCTGCCCGTTCCCTTTTTCTCTCTCTCTCTGAAAATGAGACTGCCACTCACAGATCTTACCTTTGATTCCAAGTCCACCAAACTGACAGCTTTGTCATCCACTTGAAGAATCATATCTTGAGTCCACACTTTGCCTTTGGCATCCAGCAATTTCAGCTTCCTTATTCCATCATCTACTGTAATCATTGCTTCTTTTCGGTCCAGAACAAAGGTGGTCAAGTGCTAGTGAATGGGATGTACATTTAAAAATAAAAAAATAAAAAATTGTAGTTTTCCCTATTGCTTGGCAGTATCAGTATTCAAATTGCCAGAAAGTAGCAATACAAATTATTCATGAATAAAAGTGCCTTTGTATATGACAGATCCCATAAGCCATAAGAGAGGTTGTTTAGTCCATAATGTCATTTTAAGTCAACTGATTTTTGTAACTCAGTTTGTCATCCTCTGTCACTTCCTCACTACTGTAAGCAGCTAGACTTGAAGGCATATTCTGACATCTTTCAGGTATCAAAGTGAGAATTAAACCCTGAGTATTTAATTAGCTTTGTTGAGGAGTGAAAACCTGTCTGTCTTGGCAAGCTGAATCCAGGAAGCGTCAGCAGAAGCTTCCCAGCAATACCCTGCCAGCGTACCTCCACACCACCCTGACCTGGAGTGGCCTCATCTCTTCCAGAGCTGCCAGCTAGCACGCTGATGGCAACCGTGATGGGCTTGCATCTGACTGGGATACCTTATGGACAGGCTACTCGCTGCTTTCATGTGGGTTACAGCAGAAATGTAGTATACTATTTTTGCTCAACATCAACTTGGAATATTCTCCAGATTCAATTAATAGTCTAAAAATTAAATACTACCTCACAGACATCACCTCAACTAGCTACCCCACCATCGTGGTTTTGACAATTTCTCCTTCAACATGCCAATCATGCAAGAAAACCCATGAAATTATTTCATTTTATCCAGGCATAAATCCAGCTTCACATTCTTATTGAAGACCTGGTTACACTCATTCAAGAGAACCAATTTTAATATATGTCTGCACACCTATCTTCTAAATAATAATAAAAAAAAAATTGTGTGCTTTCTTCTATTACAGGATAAGAGCACTTAGTAACGACAGACAAGAGAGTAGATATAAGCTGCATATAATCAAAGTATTTAAAAGAAGCGAAACTCTCTACTGGCTGCTCACACAGGAATGCTTAGACTCCAAATACAAGTACTAATTTTTATGCCAGTACAGTATCAAAACCGTTATGAAGAAACCAAAGAAAAATAGACAGATAATTAGAAGCAACACAAGTATTCATTTGCAAGCTGATCATAGGATAGAAGCACTTGAAATTAAGACTCTTCTGCATATGATCTCACAATTTACAGCTAATTTAAAACCCAGCAAAAAGGAGCTGAGAATCTATGGTATTTGCAAGACTTGGCTTAACCCACAACAGTGGTCTGATGGTAGTGGAAGAAAGTTTGTGCCAAAGTCAGACTACAGAATGAGGCATTGCATCCAAAAGTGTTTTAACGGGCTACACATGGGCACCCAGGCTTACTCTGCTGACTATTTTAAATGTATCTACGCCTAGATAAAATATGACAGCAGCACGCAGTAATTCTGCAAAGCGGCTTAAGACAGGAAGTAACATACTTTACACTTCACACTGGGGAAGAATCTGTGCAGGCAGAATGTATTTGTTTAACTACTACATAGTAGACTAATTGGGGCTTTCAGGGGTTAATGCTCAGCTCTTTCTGAATATTCTGTCACCTCTGCTGATTATAACTGATCAAAGTATTCATTCTAAATATTGTCCAGTGTGCCTTGCCAACAGCACAGGGTTTTTCAGCTCTGCCTCATCCTTGCAACAAGCCAGGTTCAGAGACAGGGCAGCTTAACACGTTGAATTAATATCCCATTGAGAAGTCCTGTCCCTTTGCCAAACTACACACAAATTTGCTTACATTCTTCTACATCAAAATTTCAGCTCATTATGGCAAAGCTATAGAATTTGAGACATTTCAGAGTAATCTATTCTGAAGTGACCTCGGGCTGGCAGGATATTTTGGAAGATGTATATGCCTTCAAGCATATGTATCCTCAGAAATCATGTAGGCAAAAATAACTGCATGTAACTGAAAGCTATAATTGGTATATCAGTCCTCGTCTCACCTCTACGTGATACTGCGAAGTTTCAGATATGCTGCTGGCACTGTCTCGTGCATAATTCTTTCTTTGTTCTAGAGATGGGAGGAAAAGAAAGAATAATTATTCATTCAACTTCTTATTCCTGCTTGTTGAATATTTCTCAGAGATACTTAAGACTAGTTGTATATATGAAAACAGAAGATGAGCTGCTGCTAATTTCTGTATTGCAACAGAAAAAACCTTCACCACCACATAGTCCAGCACAAGGATCATACTTACGTCAACGATGTTAACGGAGAGCCAGTGGGTGCAAACAAAAGCCAGTTATCTCGTTACAGTGAGTCAGGACACTGGAGGGGAGCAGTGTTCTGACTGTAAACGCTTCATTGGGAAGCCTGATTATTAAAATCACTGGCTTACCACTTTGGTAGCAATATGATAACTAGCATCAGGCTTACTGCCTTTGTATGAATGCACTTGAAAGCAAAAGTATTTCCTGATATACGTATAATTCTCATGTTAAATCTGCAAAGCAACAAAGCCACACACAAAACAGACTTGAGTCATCCTTTATTTCTTCCTAAAGTATTCAATTTGATGAATTACTAACATAGAAATATGCATGGAAAGGACTTCAAAAATAAAAAAGAAATACACACCAAATATATCTAAACAGAAATATTTTTCAGCTAACAAACCACAATGCTGCAAAATCAGAAACATCCTTTGCCTTTTACTCTATACAATAGATTAATATTAAACCAGGAGAGGAGGGAAGGGAAAAAAGCAAGATGAAGACACAGCAGACACCCACACCACAAAATAATTAATTTAGATGAATACCGAAGAAAACTTTTCAACTTTAGTCGAAAAAAATTGAATGCAACATTTGGAAGGTTTTTCTCTTTTTTCACTATAACCAGTTAAGTGCCTGATCTGGAACACCAGGAGCTTTGTCTCAGGAAGAAAGTCATTAGATGACATAGCTGAGAGAGGTCCAAGGTAATACTGCAAGCAGGCAATTCTTTTCTCTCCATTTCATTAAATAACTTGATTTCTGATCTTCAAGTAAAATAAGCAGTTTGATTTTGTTTGGAAGGAAAGTACCTGATGTACATACAAAGTAAATCAATTTCATCCTACTTGAAGGTAAAATAAAAGTGTGTGATTCTGTTGACACGAAAGTTAAGTTACTTTTTGCGAAATAAAAGAATGCTAACTACTACCAAGCACAGAGATCTGCAGTGAGGGCACCCTAAAAGCCACACTGTAAAAGTCTCTTCTGCGACCAGGGTTCCTTCATACAGGAATTTCTGGTCCTGACAGAGACAGCAGTGCCCTCATTTTCAGATGCCACTTGTGGAAGCATTTGTCACCTTTTATAATCACACCATTATCTCTCCAGTTCTCGGTGACTTTCATGAAAGACAAGACAGTTTCTGAAATGCGTCACTGGCTTGAAGCCCCCCTCCCGTGATGACAAACACCGCTCGTACAACAGAGCCATCCTGCTCCTATACAGCAGCTACTCAGCTTGCTTTAGCAAAAGAAGTGCGCAGTGCAATCGGCACTGCAAGAACACCACGTGTTATCAGAATTTTTAACTAGGTGGGTGAATATTTCAAGATAGATGTTATTCTTTTATTATACGTTATTCTGAAATCCTAGGGCAGAGGATCTACATTGATTCCAACTGTAACTACTATTTCTGCTTTTGCAGCATGTTAATTAAATTATTTTTTTTGTTCATTTTCTTTTTAACCACAGTAGACACACACACATGCACACCCCAACAAAACAGTCAGTAAAGCAGTACTGTCTGATTTGCTACCTTTCTTTTTTTGTTTGGATGATGATCTGAAGAAGTAAAGTCCATCTGTTCCTAACAAAACAAGGGAATTAAAAAGTAGTATCTAGTTTAACCCCATAGAATTATTTGCATCTCCAAGGGGATCAGTTAACAGTCGTCTGTTATGGACTACAAATGATAATTAAATGCTGTCCAGTAAGAAAGAATAGATGCTTTAAAAAAAAAAGTCACTTGTTTCAATTAACAATGCACCAGATATTCAGTTTTGACTGTTATCTTCTTTTAGGTGACTAAAAATATTATTTTTAATGATATGAAATTAAACAAGGATAAGAAATTTTACATGCACTGTAAGATTTAAAAATCCTGCAAACAATAACAGTTGGAGTTGTTTTAAATAAACAAAGAAATCCTGGCATATGTAGAGGCTCTAAAGGAATTAAAAAGCAGAGAATAAGTTTTGCAAGAGATTCCTTGCTCTGCTTCACAGGAATTTTGTCCTGTGTCAAGAAAGAATATCCCAAACTATTTGTAGCAGTGATTAACACATCCTCTTCCACAGAGCAGCACAACACTCACAACAGACATGATGGTAAGGTTTTCAACACACTATGTCATGGTGAGAACAATAGCATTTATATAAGAGATAGAGCTTCCTGAATGCTAATAAAATCTGTGGTTGCCTACACTTGAGAGCCAAGGAGAGCCCCTCAAGTTCTTAATTCTTAATTACAACACAATAGTAACAAGAACTTCAGTAAGATTTCCAATAAACAAAAGCCAATCTGTGGTTGTGTTAATAAACAAAAAGTATGGTCACCACAACAACTCACAGTCCATACTGAGTTCAGCAACAATTCCTATTTACCTATTTATTTCTTTAATGCAGGTAAAATGATTATTAGAATGATCAACTTAGACATCTAAGTTATCATATAGAATAGAATATTTCAGTTGGAAGGGACCTACAACAATCACCTAATCCAACTGCCTGACCACTTCAGCGCAGACCAAAAGTTAAAGCATGTTATTAAGGGCATTGTCCAAATGCCTCTTAAACACTGACAGGCATGGGGCACTGTCCGCTGTTTCTTGTTATTCTATGTGCCCTTCTACCAAAAACCACCACGTAATGTATGTCACTCATGCAGACTTGGAGACTCCCTTTTCTGGGAGTCCAAGAAAGTGAATAAATCTAAACTCTGCAGTGAAGCATGCAAACTAAAACTGGGGAGACTTCCAAGTCTTGTTGTAGTTACAGAACAAAGCAAAAAAAGGAGAGGGTACCTCACAGGCTCTTAATTACTGCTCAGTGCTGCAACTTTTACGCAGTTTTGGATGAGCTAAGATATAGCCTATAGCAGCTGTGAATGTTGTCAACACTGCTATAGAGGAGCTAGAGGTAGATACTATGGGTAACTGCTCCTTCCTGAAATTATTCACTCTTCAAAATACATCTTCTAATAAGTACCCTAGCATCAGGCAAAATTCTTCCATTGCTTCTGGAAGTTTTTTTTCCTCAACCTTTGTTTTTCAACCCTTTTACAATTCAATAGTTAGAAAGTGGGTTTCCTTTCCCATACAGAGTCAACCCAGCTGCTAATCACCCAGGCTCCCTGAAAGATGGTTTTCTTGTCTGCCTGGCATAAATTGCACTGAAGTAAGAATGAATAAAGACCCCCCATGAGAATATGAACATAACACAAAGGAGAAAAAAAAAAAAAAAAGGGGAAAAAAAAAAAAAGGCTGGTGTCTAGAATGTATCCCCTTTCCCATGATTTTTGCCAGTAGCTAAAAACTAAATCTTGGCATCTGCTTTCTCCTGATGCCTGGCTCATGAGCCAGATTCTACCTACACACCTCCAGCAAGTGCTCACTTTGCCCTCAGAAAGGAGGGCCTTCTGCACCCTCTTCCACTGATATGCTCCTCTGCCTTGAACTTCTAGCAAAATTGATATAAGCCTGCAAATCTGTTCTGCGTCCTTCTCTAACCAGATGACACAGAAGTCTGCTGTGTCTTCCTACAACACTTCCACATTTCCACTACCAAGTCACATATAACTCAGCACAAGAGTCACAGTCTTTTTCATCCTTATACAGCTCCTTATTTTTCTTCTTTTCCTACAGAGTTGCCCATTCCCATTCTTCTGGAAATGTAGCTTTCATCTCCTCAACTCTTTCACATATCAAAGTGGCTGATTATTATTCATCAATATTAATCTGACTGCTTTTACAGAAACCCTGAAAATGCTTCTTGACTTATTACATGATCTTCAAATGCAAGTAACTCATACCCTGCTATTGAAAATGAACAACAGAATTTGCTGACTTACTGAATGTACTGGGTGTGGCTGGGATGGAGTTAATTTTCTTCACGGCAGTCTGTATGGTGCTGTGTTTTGGATTTGTGACCAAAACGGTGTTGATAACACAGGGATGTTTCAGCTGTTGTTGAACAGTGTCAAGGCCTTCTCTGTTTCTCACTCTGCTGCCCCAGTGAGGAGGCTGGGGGGGCACAAGAGGTTGGGAGGGGACACAGCTGGGACAGCTGACCCTGACTGACCCAAGGGATATTCCAGACCATAGGACATCATGCTCAGCAATAAAATTAGCGGGTAGTTTTTCCAAAGTAGCCCTTGCTCAGAGACTGTATGGGCATTGGTCTGCTTGTGGTAGATGGTGAGTGATTGCCTTTGCATTACTCAGGTTTTTCTCCTCACCCTCCTTTCCTTCACTTATTAAGCTGTCTTTATCTTGGTCTATCAGTTTTTTCTTGGTTTTGCTTTTCTGATTCTCTCTCCTATTCCACTGCAGGGAGGAGACAGGGGGAATGAGCAAACAACTGGGTAGGTCCTTAGTTGCTGGCTGGGGTCAACCCCAGACACGGGAGAAAAAAAAAAGAAAAAAAAAAAGTTTTGTATTCTCCATTTCACTCTCCTAATCCTTCCAATCAATCTCAGCCTCTCATGGGTCCCTTCATGCATGAAGAGAGTTATTGAAGCTAAAGTGAAATTCTGCAACAGAGACTTCCAGACAGGATGAATAAAACCATCAAAACTATTGAGTTTTTCCTATTTACTCTACTTACTGCAGCTCTTACATCCAACGTGTAAAATACAGTGCAGCCTTAATACTGCAGTTAATTCAAACCCTGCTCATATGCTGCACACAATTTACATAAAGTATTTTCCCTGTGATAAAGGAGAAAAAAAAAGATCATGGCAGAAGACACTTGAGTTCTTAATGGCAATCTATAGCAAATGCAACCCAGAGGAATTTGAG